TAACCATCTCACACCGATTTGGTCTGGTCACGCTGGCTATATTGAATGTTTACCAGCGCCACCTCCAGAGTACTCGAGGCACCGTCGCCTGCCGTCGTGCCGTTTTGTTTACGCAGCCCACATGGTGTTTGGCTAGCCTAATGCGTGGTTGTGCGATCATTTGAAGTGTGCTCTGCAACGCTAAGCCTAGGTGCTTCATGTGAAGTGTGCTCTGTAACGCTAAGCCTAGGTGCTTCGACGCTCGTCAGCAAACTCCTTTGTTCACATCGTGAGGATTTCGCTTGCCTGTAATTGCCCCCACTCCGCCTTCATCCTCTTCGCCGATGGCAGCGAAGTGCGGAAAACAGTACCGTCGGTTAACGATGGAGAAGAAACCACCATTATTAAGTTAGTGAAGAATGGCCAATCGCAGGCTGGCGTGAGCAAGGAGTTCAGCATTTGCAAGCAAATAGTTTCCGATTTCCTGAGAAACAAAGACAAGATCTTGGAAGCGGCGGAAAAACCGTCTGGTGCGCTTTTTGCGTTTTTTTTTTTTTTGCTTGCATTCATTCAATTTTTCTGACTGCCCGAATTTTAGGACGGTTTTTCGCTCCCTAGAGGGTCTGAAAAATCGGCAGTTGATGTATCAGCGAACATATCTAGGAGTCACCTATGCAGTTAGAATTATGTCCCTGAAGCAGCACCTATGCAAAGCACTTACATATGGTATGTCCACTACTCATTTATTTATAAACCATCCCTTTATCGCCCTACCGTTTCTATTGTAAATAAGACCTGCAGTAGAAAAACTTGGAATTTGTTTCGATGATTTATAGGACAGTGACCACGCTGGATACATTCCTTTCTGGCAGCAGTGTCTGGTCACTTCTGACTGGTCCTTCAAAGACCTCAAAAAGAAAAAAAAATGGTTCAAGTGCATTATTGAGCAACATTTCTTGGCCTTTGAACACAAATATTGTTTTTTCTCTGACAGCTCAAAGTCTCGAACATCTACATTCTGTGCAACCTATGGACAAAACTTCTCCGACACCAGAACTATACATACACATACCAGCCTTTGCACGGCGGAAACCTATGGTATCCTGCTTATTGTACAACACATTATACAACACAAGGTACAAAAGTTCATAGTGTACGCAGATTCGTTAAGTGTTGTCACGGCCATGTCTTGTGGCAAGTACAGTCAACGACCGATATTTTGGACGCCTAATTTTTCGGGCATGCTTGATGATTCGGACATTTATCCAGCACCAGGACATACCCTATAAATTAAATGCTCAAAATTTTAGACAGCTAAGGAAGAGCTGTTCGGTATTCCCGACTTTCCAAGCATCAGTCGAGCCGACTACCAGCAATTTTTCGTGCCGCCATCTTGCTTTTTTACGTTTTCCTCCATTAGGCTCGAATTGGTGCTGGCCTTGCGCGCGGCCGATACCTTTGCTTCCCTCCACTAGGCATGCTAAGACGGCTACCTCGAATTCCTCGAACTGCTGGATCGAGGCTATTTCTGTATCAGTGTCGCTGTTAAACAATTTTTCTTTCTTCTCTGCTGTGACCGTTGAAGCGGGGAAAGTACGTCACCATGTCGATGGCGAAGAAAGCTGTCAAGCTCGTTGAAAGTAGCCGATACCAAGCAGACTATGCGAAAGAGTTCCAGATTTCCCAACAGACTCTTTCAGACTACATGAAAAACAAGCAGAAGATTTTGGAGGCAGCAGAAAAGTCTACTGGATGTCGCCAGAAAAATGTAAGCCAAGGTACCTACCCAAAGCTCGAGGAGGCCCTCACTGTATGGCTGAAGTCGACAGTGGCCAGCAGGGTTCCCGCCTCCGGGAACCTTCTCAAACAGAACGCTGAGACGATGGTACTTCAAATGAACATTGAAAAATTCAAAATCAGTGATGGCTGCCTTAGGAACTTCAAGAAGCACTTTGATTTCAGTTTTAAAGAACTGTGCAACTGGATGTCGCCAGAAAAATGTAAGCCAAGGTACCTACCCAAAGCTCGAGGAGGCCCTCACTGTATGGCTGAAGTCGACAGTGGCCAGCAGGGTTCCCGCCTCCGGGAACCTTCTCAAACAGAACGCTGAGACGATGGTACTTCAAATGAACATTGAAAAATTCAAAATCAGTGATGGCTGCCTTAGGAACTTCAAGAAGCACTTTGATTTCAGTTTTAAAGAACTGTGCGGTGAAAGTGCACCTGTCGACCTTAGCGCCGTTGTGACATGGTGGCAAATACAGTAAGCAGGGAGTTACTGTTCTAATCAGTAGCAATATGTCGGGCACAGAAAAACTGCCAATGCCCGTCATCGGAAGAAATTTCCCGCTGCTCTGATAGTCCATGGGCTTCGCCACTCCATCTTGTTCCGAAGAAGATTGAAGGCTGGCGACCCTGCGGGGACTACCGGGCGCTCAACGCATCCACTATCCCGGACAGGTATCCTTTCTACCACATGCAGGACTTTGCCCATCGCATTCATGGCTGCCACATGTTCTCCGTAGTAGACTTCGTGAATGCCTACACAAAGGTATCCGTCAATTCAGATGACGTCCCGATTACGGCAATAATGTCACTCCTTTTGGCTTTTTTGAGTTTCTCTTCATGAGGTTCAGCCCGAGGAATGCTGGACAAACCTTTCAGCACTTCATTGATGATGTCGTCTGCGGCCTCAACTTCTGCTTCATTTACCTTGACAACATACTGGTATTTGCCGTTGATGCCAAAGTGCACCACAGGCATCTTCGTCTGCCTTTCGAACGCCTCGATGACCATGGCCTACTCGTCAATATTCCAAAAAGCACGCCAGGCGCTTCCGTCATCCGGTTCCTTGGCCATGAAGTTTTTTTTTTTTTGAGGAAATTTGGTTCCTGCCCCAGTACATCTCAGATCTGCGAAATCGTCCTTAACCTACCACCGCCAAAGACTCGCCGTTTCCTTGGCATGCTAAACTTCTGCTGGGGTTCCTTGCCACACGCAGTTCAACACAAGGCTCCCTCCAATGATGCTTCAGCTTAGCTATGAGGAAACCAGCCTGTCATGTGGACACCAACGTTAGTGAAAACTTTCGAAGAATGCAAAGCCACCCTCTGCATCGCCATGCTCCTCACCCATCCAGTGCCAGGCGCTACCTTGTGACTCTTCACAGACGCATCTAGTTTTTGCTGCTCTAATGGAATGTTTGGGCAACACCTGGCATCCCTTCGCATTCTTCTCCAAGAAACTCTTAGCTCGGAAAACAACCCCTTCAACCGGCAGTTCCTCTGACCATGACCACCGACCCGACAAGTTTGTCGGCCCACTACAGAGAACGTCTACTGATATGCAAAACAGTGCAACACTTAAGCCATAATCTCGGAGCACAGAACTTCATCATCTATACCAACTATAAGCCTACGCCTTCTCTCAAGGTCCCGACAAACTCTCGCCTGTTAAGCAGAACTAACACTTGTTTATAGCATACTTAAGCACTGACATCCAACATGTCAGCAGAAAATACAATGTGGTCGCCAACACGCTTTCATGTGTAGCCACCATCAGCTCGGTACAGATAGCAGAGGACGTCCTCGCCGAGGCTCAGACTATGGACGCTGAACTGCAGGAACTTTTCAAGGGCATGTGCTCACTACAGCTACAAGAAGTCCCCATTTCAGGGTCAGCAACTACAATCTGCTGTGGCACATCAACAGAATTAAGCATGCCCTATGTGCCGCTGTCCCATTGCCATGGTATTTTCAACCAGCTCCACAACCTCAGCTATCCTGGCATACGCTCCTCTACACGCCTCGTAGCTGACCACCATCATTGACCGTGACTATAAAACCAAGGTGCCAAGCTCGGAAGATTCACTTCTTTGCTACCCAAACGCGTGTGGCATCAGTATGCTTGCCCGCTGTTGCTACTAAACGAATGAAGGAATAAAACAGTCATGATTTAAAGACGATAGTCTTTCTTGGGGACCTTCAACGGAAAAATTTGGGTCTGTCTCTGTACACTTCTTTGTTTGTCCGCCTTTAACGATACCTAAAACGGCACCAAACGGCCAACCTCATCTGCAGCGCCCACCAATATTGCTCAAGATTTAGCATTCATAATTGTGTGAATGTCAATTAAAAAGCAACTATTGCACATATCTGAGGTGCTATAACAACACGTCGATGTTTTGCATGTCTGCCTTTATACTAGAAGAAACACAAGTAACTCTAAAGACTGTAGCATTTATCACGCTTCACTGACAGTGTGACAAGATGCTCAAAAAGGTAAGTGTTTCCGACGCTTTCCGACGACGACAGGGTGGTGGCGCCTGCTTGTCGCTTTGCGTTCCACACCTTATCACCTCCGAGACTAGCACGCATCTTTCTCCGCGGGGGCGCACGCCTTCGTTTTCGAAGATAACTGCCAGATGGCGCTCGTGTGTAACGTGCTTCGATTCGCTCGTTCCCCTCCACTTCATGCTCGAGGAACTTTAACGCAGTGCCTCCAGAATACCATTCATCGATTTTCTTGCGCAGAACATCAAATAAGCGTTTTGTTCACTCTCTCCAGACGCAAGACTATTGTCTTTCGACGACATTCGCAGTGTAACATGCAGATTCGGGCCAATTTTTTATATTGAGATTCATCCATCGTAATGACCTGTGGTTATCCTGCATACGCAGAATAACTGCAGGTCATTGAGGGTAACTGACTGGATTCACAGTAAAGTCAAGTGGGTGAGGAGGCGATGAAGTTACGTGGGCACATTAGATTACGAAATTTGCGGCTATATAATGTGGCAGCAGCAAGCACAGAACTGAGTTGACTGGCGAAGCATGGATTAAGCTTTTTTTCTGCAGTGGCCGTAGTCAGGTTTATGATGATCATGTTTTATGTTGGGATTCGTCGATCTATCGACTCGATGTTCCCACAAGTTTTTTTCTTTTTCTGGAATTAACAACTTTGAAGACATTTGGTATATGATGAATGACATATCGTGTTTTTCTTTTTTCAACTCTGCGCAGCGTCCCAGCCCTGCTGTAGCAGCAACCATCTGCGAAATGCTTCTACTAGCTCCTAAAGACCTCATTGAAGGTTCCAGGGACTGTACAGATGTACGACGCATCCTTCGTTGGCTGTGCAGCCTCACAGCCAACACCCTGCTCCACTGGGATGAGAGCACGTCCCAAGTAGATGGTGTGTCATCCTTTACCATGGATCAGACAGAGGAGCTCCATTTAGATCGTACAACCCGTCAAGTGGATATCACCTTTGCTGATAAAAGTGTAGTGCAAGATCTCCAGTTGGGACCTACATCAGCCAGACCCAAGTTGCATTCAATGTCTCTTGAGCTTGCAAAAGTCCTACTGTGTAGAGTCAGCTTGCCACAAGCAGTCGAAGCACTTCAATACATCCGAGCTCACGGGACTTGCATTTAACATTATTTCAGCAGCAACACCTGACAAAAATTTTGTTCCCCTGTGCACAGTAGTATGCTTTCTTTCTGGGTACCTGTAGGAAAATTTGTATCTAGGTTCTTTCCAAGCTACTTGAACTGGCACATGAGCTTACATGCTCTGGTGCGAGGCGAGGCGAGCACTGTAGGGATTAAACACGCGCATGCTGTGGTAAACAGTGTAGATAATGTGCATAATAAAGATTTTGATCTTGCCGTATGTGTCTCGCTCAATATGTTCCAGCTAGTACAGAATGAGAACTGCTGTGGAGAAAATGCAAGTTCTTCCTAATATTATATGCCTTTTATAAGGTAAGCATACGTTCATAAACAAAGATTAAAAAGGGATCGATGAATGGATAGTGCAATAATTTCTTCTCCATAACAGGAGTAGTCACCTGTGAGGCTTCCTTTTCAATTCTGGTTAATGCATGTGGAGATAGGCTTGCAAGTACCCTAAGAGCATGACCGAAACAGGTTGCTATGCTCCTCCACTATTGTAGCGCACAAAGGCTTAGCTAAAACCGTTGACCCCCTGACACTGCGGAGAAAAAACACACTCAAGGTAGACGGTCTACAAATCCAGGTTTATTAACCACAGGGCGACAGGCACAGGTTTGTTGAGGGTAACTCCACCAGACCGATCAAATATGCTCGTCCCGCAGTTTTTTTTAAACATTTAGGCCGCCATCTCAAATTTCTGACTGTAAACCTTCGCGGCAACAAGCATGTACAGAAACATGGCATATGTATAGGCTCTGGTATAGCACGTGTGTTGACAAACATTCTTTTGGTGAAATTCGTCCGTATATTACACAATAATCTAGACAACAAAGGTGTAGTCAAGGTCTTTAGAAATGTAGGCATATTTCATGCATGTCATGTCATCACAATTTTCCACCCACTTGCAACAGTACAGAACGCTGTATCCCACTAGTTGACATCGTGCTGTGAGGTTTCACGATGCTTGTATGCGCTTTCACGACAATTGCATAATATAGCAGTTTCGCACTTGTAACGTTACAAAACGCAGTATCTCGTTAGTTCACAATGTTATGTATGCTTTCACAGTTTTTCACGACATGATATCGCAATGTCGCGCAAGCAAGAAAACAGAACATTGTCTCACTAGTAGACGTCGTTTTGGGTGGTATCACGACGCTTCCTAACTTAACCTAACAAAAATCGCAATTTCAGACTTTTAATCGTAAAAAACACCGTTTCTCAGTAGCTGACGTTGTTTTATGCAGTTTATGACGCTTCATAACCTAACCCAGCCTAACCCAAATTTCGCATTTGTATCTTTACAAAGCGCTAGGTCACACTGTTTCATGCACATGTAGGATAATTGCATGACCTCACAGTTTTTTCACCAGCAGGGTACAGTACAGAACCCTGTATCTCACTAAATGACATCGTTCTTTGAGGTTTCACGATGCTTGCATGCACTTTCACGAGAATTGCATAATATAGCAGTTTAGCACTTGTAACGGTACAAGCCGCAGTATCTGGCTAGTTTACGCCGTTTTGTGTGCTTTCACAATATTTTACATATGGCAGTTTCTTAGACGCAAAAAAACAACACTATCTCGTTAGTTGATGTCGTTTTGGGTGGTTTCACGATGCTACCTAGCTTAACCTAACATAACCTAACCTAACCTTCGCATTTCTAGCGTCACAAAACATTTTACCCGCTACTTAACATCGCTTTCTGCAATCTTACGACGCTTTCTTGCGCTTTCACAAAATTTGATATTGCAGTTTCCGACTTGTTGAAAAACACTGCATCTCAATAGCTGACATTGTTTCATGCGGTTTTATGACGCTTCCTAACCTAACCTAACCTTCGCACTTGTATCTACAAAACGCTAGGTCACACTGTTTCGTGCACATTTACCCAGGTAACGCAGAACGTTGAGTCAACGTGGTTTGAATGTAACGAATGTGAGGCAACGTTAGGCGATCAAATATAATATTGCACCGACGTTTATAGTATTATGTTGCCATAACGCAGTGTTTTTGATGTTGCAGCAACATTCAAATAATGACGTCCTAATGTGTTGTTTTTAATGAGGCAACAACATTCATATTATCACATTTCTCTAACGTGATGGTAATGTGGTAATCACATTGCATCAACATTTTATATAAACATCAAACCTATGTTTAACAGTGATTGTAGAGACGACATGGAGAACATAATCGCTGAAACATCCAATAACACACATGGCAACTTTTTCAACTTTGTGTACTCATTTCAATAATGGCGGACAGTGGCTAGTTAGTGTGGTTGAGTAAGAAATAGAAGCATGAACAATACAGACAACAGTTCAGCCTATGTTGTTCACACACTAATCCTTCTATGAATATGCATTCTTTATACAGCTGCACCCCATGTTTTTATTTATTTATTTGACAATACACGATTGCCGTAGTGCAGGAGACAAAAAACACCACCATGAGTCACCTGACTAGGCCTCTATAGCTCTGCACCATACATTCTTCACACAGAGTGACTGCATTGGCACATTGGCAAGAAAAAGAAACACAAGAACACAATCACATAGTGGAAACCATTGTGTCGCCTGCTCACGTCTGTAGCTAGATACACTAAACACAGTGAATTCATATGTGAGAAAGATATGTGCAAGAGCAAGGCTTTTAGGACCCCAAATTTCCAGGCTACAAAAAGCCTGCTGTAGGCAGGCTTCATCTCAACATGTACGCATGCAGACTTGAATAAATTACCTGTATATTTTAATTATTACTGTGTGGTTATAAAAATAGCAAGGGAATCATTACACTTTGAAGTGAGCTTTTTTTGAAGTGAGCAAGCAGTAGTTAAATAAAGCTATGCCTCCATTATGATGCATCACCAAAATCATGTTTTGAAAAGTGCTTTCAGATTAAACACACAAGAAACAGATCTACTAAAATGGGACCTACATGCTTGCATGATGCAAGGCAACAGCCACAACAAACCCTACGATTGGCAAGAATAATGGAAGTGGAATCAATAGGAACCATGAAGCTAGAAAAATAGCTGTTTCACAGAGCCCTTACTCTTGGAGAACATAAAAAGCAATGCAATGATTTCAGAAAAAGATGCAAATAGGAAAATCAGTCACTAGATAGAGTAATCAAGTAAAATCACGGTCAAAAGAGAGAAAAATATGGTATGAAGAAAGGCAGGGAGTTTCTCCAGAAAGCAAGTATCTGGTTTACTACCTTGCACTTGGGAAGGCAGACAGAAAGGTAAGAAAAGCAGAAAGGTAAGGAAAGCAGAAGTCTGCTAGTGCAGGGTAGGTTTTTTAAGCAGCATGTTTGTTGTCGACCGAGTAGGTATGGTAACCTGTCAGCAGTTAGGCGAGCTTCCCTTTCTGTTCCAGCATGATGTACATGCATAAGTAGCACCACGTTTATGCAGTTGTCTGGACGACAAACACATTTGGTCAACTGTAGTGTTTTTCTAGTTGGTCACAACACAACGAAGGCTTAGCTGCATTCGTCAAACTGTCAACTATTAAATTAGACAGGCATATTTGAGCTGGAAGTCGTGTGCGAGCTATCGTTGCTTGGTGAACTTGGCGAGCTCTGTACATGACAATTGTGGACTATTGTCACTAGTTCACACAAATGGTGATTCATACGTGGGGAGGTCTGTTGTCTGATCATCTTGTCGCGCTGCTGCTCATTGTTACATTCATGCACTTCAAGGATTGAGGCAGCGGGGGAAGAGCCGAGACGTTATTTAGCTGCCGCTTTAAGCAGCGAAGGGTGCAGCGGGTGTACCCTTTGTTGCGTGTCAGTGTAGAGCGTGCATGAAGTGTTCATTTCTGGTTGTGGAGTCACCTCAGTTGGAGGACGGAAATCTAAACAGTTGTAGATAAGGGCAACAGGTCTGCCGGCTACGGAAAGTCGGAGGATCACCGTCCGTTCTATAGGGACAGTTTCTTGACTTGCAACGGTGAAATAAAGGTGAAATTGCTGTGTGAACAGCATCCAGTTCGCCCACAAATCGTCGATCATGCACTTACACGCTCAGATGTCTCTGCTGTGGACGTTATTTTGTAGAGGAAGATCCGCATCAAATGAGCTCACTGATGATGCTCAGCTGTTGCGTGGAGGTACTCTGCTTTTTTCACTTTAGGCTGTCGTTATCGGTCACACTTGAACGACTCCTCACGCTTGACTAAAGCCCCCCTAACTTGACACCTTCGACCGAGAATGCAGAGCGAAACCACACGAAAATAAGATGTTCCATGCTATTGTGCTACGATGATGATGACGACAATAGTGAGTCGAAATCAGAATTGCACAAGTTTCAATTTCAACTTCTTTTTTAAAGTGGTTTTGTAACAGTAAAAAAAGACAGCTAAGGCAGCATAAAAAATTTAGACAAAAGTTGTTTGCAAAGGACCGAATTTCTGTACACACTAAAATATCTGCAGGACAACGCTATGACTTGTACAGCGCAATCACGGGGGAAGGAAAAGTAGGAGAGGGCATGCCCAGCCGGCGCGGGGCGTGAAAAATGTGGCGAAAGTGAAATCATAGCAACCATATTCACTGGGCACAATGGCGGCGTTGTGGATCTGGAGCGGCCGCGGTTGGCGGCGGAATGTGTGCCTCCCCAGGTCTCGTGCTGTGCCGTGACGAACAATATTTGTGCTCTGCGCCGCGTTATTTGTTACACAACGTTCTCCTGGCAGTTACTGTACTCTTAGCAACGTTTACAAATCCCTTTGTCCATCACGAGGTTTCAATAGTGGGCTCTTCGATTTTCGACTTCTGGCTACCCGCGGACTGCCAGAGCCAGGAGAGCATATCCATGTGTCGTGCGGCGGATGACGCGGATGAGACAGTTAGTGTTCAGAGAAATTGTGTTGGACACCATGACGAAGCTGAATGACGACGAACGCCTTGCAGGTCAGTGACGGTCGAGCAGTGCTCCTGCTTGTGACAACGAACGACGCTGTTGAGCCCAGAAAGACGCCATGAGGACCATGTGCACATACGTAGTTTCGTGTTGTGTGTGTACAGTAACAACTTGCATGCGCGTATTAAAACACCTTTTCTGTTCCGCTTGGTACACACTCCACCAGCATTGCATATTTAATCTCAATTGACAGCAACCGCGTTCAAGTGCCACTAGCACCGTGCTCAAAGTCACCATGGTCGCAGAATGCTGACGCCGGTGAATTTCACGCGGAACACG